TTTTCCTGGTCAGTGTTTCTGCAGCCTCTGGGGAGCACAAGCCCTCTTTTGGGAAGATTAACCAGCTCAGATGCAAGCACATGTCTGCAGATTCCAGCTGCAGAGCTAACACAAACTTCAGCCCACACCCCACCACCCCAAGTCTCAGCCATGCACACACGGCACGTTCCTTCTCAAGCCACCTCAGGACCTCTGCTCCATGCAGTACTACACATCCAGTCCGTTTATTTAATCTCAGTGTTATTTAACCTTCCTGGGAAGCTACTCAATGCCAGCTCATGAAAGATGGAGTTGCACAGTCAAGTGTTTTTCAACTTCACACATTTCCCCTTTTCCACTTCTAGGGTTTTTTTACCTGTTCTTCTGTCACAATGTCACCATAAGCACACAGCAGACTCCTGTGAACACTGAAATGACACCCTCCTCCTCCAACAGTTCTGCTAATCCACTTGAGAATTGGTAAATTACAAACAACCCCACAGCTGAATCCATGGCCTTCTGCACATATAAGCCTGTTTGGGTTTCTACACAGGAGGAAATACAGAATCTCATCTATTTAAAACTTATACCCCTAGCAGTAGCAAGTGTGCTGTGGCACTCGTGTACTGCCTGCATCAGTGACATCCCTGTAATTCCACCATTTAGTGCAGATTTTAATGTAATCTGTGCTCCTACAATTTTTGTCTTGCTGTGCCATGGGAGCTGATCTCAGTGTGCCTCCAGCAATTTTCTCTCCCTCATTCTCACCTGCTTCTCCAAAATCTGGGCAATGTTTACACAGGCTCTTCTCCAGCAGCAAGGAAGGGGAAGGGCTGAGAATGCTGTTTGCAGTGCTGAAGCAGAGTGATGTGTAAATACAGGGGGCCAGCCATTGATCCCAGAAGGAATAATCCTGGGTAGAGAGCCAGAGGAACGGAGAAGAGAAATAGTGCCCTACCTAAGTCACAAGACAAATTGAGGTCCAAAATGCTCCCGAATAACTGCAAGTATTTGGCAAAGCTAAAAAAGCAGCCTGAGAGATGGCAACAGCATTGCTCACTGGTGCAAGTCCCCAGAAGTGCTGTTAGTGACACAAAGGGAACCCAGAACTAATTCCTACCCAAGGCACAAAACCCCTCATAGCACGTCCCAGGAAAGACAGAATCTCAGGTCAAGCACAAAACTGCACCTTGAAGTGATCGACAAGTTGCTGCTTGCTGCAAGGGGTGACTTGACACGTTTCCTCCAGTTCCTGAATTTTCTCCTACTTGCATATTTGGGACTCTTCCATTGCTCTGGCACTTGTGCTCAGCCAGGTGTACAGCCAAGCCCAGAGGAGAATGGCAGTGCTGCCATGGAAAACAGAAACAGGACTTTCACACCTGGAGGTTTTTGGAGCAGAGGGGAAAAACAGGACATTCCCTTTGCAATAACAGGGGTGAAACCAACAGTAAATCCACACCGATACAGACAAATCACATCTACACACCAGCTTGTCCACAGCTCTTTTGTGCTGGCTCTTATCCCACAGTGGGGAAGTCATCTGAATGCTCTTCCTCCATGGCTGGGAAAAAATAAAGTGAGTCTTTTGGTGGGGATTTTTTTTAACCAAGGTTTTAATACAAGCTCAGCCATAAATCACAGTAAAACTAAGCCACACTAGTGTCCAGCTGCAAAATCTGAAACAAGGCTGGTACAAACAGTTCCTAGCATTCAATCCAGAGAAGTAAATCAATAGTGAAAACATGATCAGAAAAAAAAAAAAAATCTCTGGATTTGTAAAATAGATCGAATAAACGAGTAAACAACAACTCACAAATATTTTCCCCCTGGAACCAGTCATCTTTGACACTGGTCATGTGTGCTGTATCAGAAGTACAGACTCACCTTTGTTACCTTCCTTCCCTTCAGGGAGAGGGACACAGAATCACAACAAGTCTGTCCACTTCTTCAAGAGGAAAAGGTCACCAGGCTGATTATTTATAACTGCACTGCCACTTCTGCAGCAACCTATTTACTTCACTTTATTTAGTTTACTCCATAGAATAATATAAATAGATAACAGGAAAACTGCAGATGGCAGGGGGAATTTCAAGATGCTCTCCCATCCCTTCTCTCTGGCAAAAATGTTTATTGGGCAAGATAGCTGTGGATCCAACTGGCAATTCCTACATCTCTTCATCTTGAACAAAACAGTTAATTTTGCATTTAGAATATCACATCTCTATTTGTGCTTTGTAAATAGCAGCCTGTTGCCAGGACTTAATGAAACAAAGAAACAGCTGGATTGAAAGGCTAATTGCAATGTCAAACTATAAACTGATGGTATTTAAAAGGGCAGCTAGCTAAAGAAATCTGTTTCTCTCTGGTCTTCCATGAAACTCTATAAAGCAAAGAAATCACAATTTCTACCCATTCAGATTGCTTTGAAAGATGGGATAACATCCTAAGGGAGACTGATGATTCACACTCTTAGAGTAAGACAAATTATAGTGAACTGGCCAGCAGTAAGGGATGGATCACTGCATAGAGTCAAAAGCTATCCAGAGTAAATAACTGAAAGTCATAAAAAAAGTAATTTTAACAGTACAGTAACCAGAAACTGATGATGTCTAAAAGAAAAATGCAGCAGGTCAAAAAGGTAAGTTATCTGCTGGTTCAGAGTAAGCATGTGGACCTGGAGAAAGTGAGGGCTTTGTGGCACTACAACTCTGCATGCACTGCCACACCCCAAAGCAGACAGACCTCTGTCCATGGCACAGCCCAGAATCACATACCATGTCCTGTCTTCTCCTAACCCTGCCCAAAACCTTCCCCAAGAGTTCTGACAGAACTGCTGGTGTCCAGCCGACAGTCTCTCAGAAGTGAGCTTTAGGAAGCAACACCTGGGCCACTCCTGAGACCCATGTCCCTGGCTCCTCTCAGTTCAAGTTGGCCTTGCCCTAGAAGACTTTTTCTCTCAAAGATTTTTTCAAGGCTTCATCCTTCCCCCAAGTGATACAGGAGCCTTTCCCCAGATCACTGCCAGAGTAAGGAAAGTTTTAGTTCTGGAAATGCCTAAGCTCCCCACATCCTAAAAGCTGCAAAGTATCTAATATGCATGTTGAGGAAAGGTTTCATCCCCAAGTACAAGCAGCAGTAGAGAATAAAACAAGCCACCTGCTCCTTACGACTGCTTTGAGGTGATAGGAGAGTTGATACAGAATATGCCCCATCTCCAAACACATAATATTGCAGTTTTAAATATATTCCTATTTGCTCGTTATTATCTAGACAGAAACATGTAAGTTAAAAAACGACCTGTCAGAATCTGCCAAAAGCTGAAGCATCTCAGTTTGCCAAAATTAAATCTAAAAAGCCTCAAAGAATACCCAAAAAGCAATGAATACGATAGTCCCATCACATACAAATAGCAACTGGCAAATGATGCAGCAAAAAAAAAGATAGCAAATATCAGTATGTATGATAGCTGCTAGGGTGAGTATTTTATAATGTACATACATGTATCTAAGAATCCAAAGTAAACAAACACCAAAAAAAGAGCTAGAATTTTATATCCTGTAGTTTTGAATTAAATATGCATTCTGCTGGGTTAAAAACAGTATTTTGTGGGCTTTGCCTTAAAATACTCCCCATGTTTCAGAGGAAGCAAGGGCTTTGTTTCAGCCATCGGGTTAGTCACAGCCCAAAAATTCCAAGGGTTTGTTCAATGTTAAAGCAAATTCTCACACAGCAACACAACAGTAAGAAGAATGTGTGCCTTCAAGTTTCTGAAATAATACTGTGCTAATTTAAGAAGAAAGGAGGAGGGGCCACAAGACAGCTCACACACACAAGTCTAGCTTTCCCTAACACAAGGCACCACTTGGTAAAAAGAAAAATACCAGAGAGATCTGAGACAGCTTTGTTAAGTACTCTGTTTGCATTACATATTTACCTCATTTTTCCATTTACTTTTTCTTTTTAGAAAAAGATTTTCTCCTGGAGTCAGCAGCTGCCTCTGTAGCTCCTTATTTGGATTGATTAAATAATAAATAAGGCTGACTAAAGTTAAGACTTTTCAGTTGAATGAGTAAGAGTTAAATAATTTCTTAGAGAAACTGGTAGACTTCATTTTCTTTTCATTTTGATTACATACTGAAACAGCACCTCCCTCTTCACAGAATAAACACCATCCACTTCATTCATGCCTGTTACAAAGAGACCCAAGCATTTCTAAACTCTGAAAGGTTTAAGTTGCACTGAAAGTAGAAGCTGCATTTCAAGTGATCTTTCCTAAAAAGGCCCAAATCAAAAGCACCCCTTTTAACACACAAGATAGCTAAAAAGAAAATTTGTCTCCTGATAAACATAAAATGTTTTATTTTACAAGAGATGCAAAGTTGAAGAACAATGGCTCAGGGTTTAATTTTGCTTTAAATTCATGATTTAAGAGTTTTTCATGCATGACAAATATTTTGTGCACACCACATGCTTAAACACATGCAAAAGATGGAAAACAAGTTTCAGTCAGAGCAATCTTCTATTTTACCTTTTCTAAAACATTAATTCTAGAGAAAGGCAAATGCAGACAGCTAAATGATGATACTTTTAAATGGTAATATTATTTCTGCATATGTTTGGATCATGTAGTTTAATGCACAGCACCTTCCCGGGAAAAGGCACAAGGTAGGTGACACTGAGATTCTTCAACTAAACGATGCTGTTTCAGAGTCTGAAGTCTCTGGACAAGTATTATCTAAAAACTATGGTATAGGTCAGGAGCTCCCACAAGACCCAGACCTGAAACACTTCAGTCACATTAAAAGTTAAGTCCCTATCAGGATCACTGAAATTCTTGAGACCAAAGGCTTTATATTAAGATAAACAAACAAAAAATGGTGTACTTCTGTTTCTTGCAGCAACGCATGCCAACTGCATCAAACCAAGCAAGCAGAGTCTGTCAAACCAGCAGCCTGCTCGCCTTGTGCCACGTAACATCTTAGCAAACACAGTTTTGTTTGAGGGTTTTTTTACTGTACCAGAAGTACTGGTTGTCTCTGGCGATATTACTTCCTTCGCTGGCTTCTCAAGTGGTACCAGTGGCTTAGGATATTTGGATGCTACATTGAGTTTTCAAAAGCAAGACAGCAACAAGTTATTATTTTAAATCTTCTAATCAATACTGGAGTATTTGCCAGCAAGGAATGAGCTTTAACAAACAATAAGATGAAAGGATTTCTCTAGGTCATACACCGATTACACTTGAATGTTTTCAGGCTCTCCTCTTCAAAAACATACAGCAGTTTCTATGTTTAAGCAGAGAACTCAGATTAGAAAATGCTTTAAGCTACATAAGCAAGTGAAATTTCAGAATATGGAAGAAAATCAAACCACAATAGCAAAACCAAAATGAATTTCAAGAAAACAGTACCTTGGTGAATGTGCTTCCAAGGTAAAACAGTTAGTGACATTTGACACTTTCATAGAACTGTTTCAGGACAGTTTTACTATGAGTGACCAAGCACCAATTTTATGTTTATGACATTAAACCTCACACCCTTCTAATTATTAATATACGTATGGCCCTGCCTCAAAGTACTATCTATATTAACATGAACAGAATAAGCCTCACAAATAGAGTTTAAAGCAGAAAAACAGAATTAAAATTTTAACCTTGAGTAGAACTGTTATGAAAATTTTTCAATGTAAGTAACATTTCCACAAGATACATGTGTATTTAGATGACAATATCATGAAAAACTAAACTTCCACAAGTTAACTAAATTCACTGGTTTATTGTTACTTAAAAAAGGAAGTTCAAATAAATCATACACATCCAGAAGAAATAAAGCTTAAACATGAAGGTGCATTGCAATAAAGACAAGCAATGTCTGACTGACTGATGCAACACAGTAACTGCTGGAACCAACAGTGGAAACAGAGTTCCTCCTGCCCAAGAGTACATTTTGGAGGTGAGGTTTTGTTCACACATTTTTTTGCTTTGGAGTTTTGGGATCTGATTGGTTTCTTTTCTTGGGTTTTTGTTTGCTTGTTTGTTTTCAACTACACTTCTGGTTTTGAAAGTTTTCTTGAGGAATGGGATATACCTCTTAACAGGACTTCAGAAGCATTAAATCTTTTAACTAAGGCAGCCCCATGCAGTGTCCAGACCTTCCCAGGTACTTCATCTTTTCTGATAATGAGCATCCATATTCCTGAGAAAGGATGTAAGAAAAGAGAATCTAAAAAAAATTAACTATATTTCTTAATAGGTGAGAATCCAATCTAGGCATATAAAGGAGGTGGATTTCCCATCTCTTATCTGTTACTCACGGAGTAGCTACAGGGTTTGTTTGTAGCATCTACATAACCACTGTGAGCTGTCAGCTTCTCCTGGCTGGCCTCCATCCCAGCTCCCTGAAAAGGGCAGAAGGCAGAGCCCCACTCTCCAGCATTGAGGCCTGGGAAAGCCATAGTGCATTTATGCATTGAGTATTCCAAACACAGAAGCACACAACAGCTACAGGGCTGAATACAGCTTATAAATTTCTCCCCCTCTTCACTAAGGCTTAAGAAAAATATTGTCAGAGCAATTAGAAAAAGATATAACTCATACTCCTGGTTTGTTTTTTTCCCCTGGCAAAATGGTATCAGTCTCAAGTAAATAGCTAGGATTTAATATTAGCATTAACTGACATGTAGGGTGAGAAGTCTTCTGTAACAGTTTATCTCATTTTATAAAATACTTTGCATTACACAGATGACCACCATCTGAAAATAGAACAGCTCTAATAGATGTTAAAGAAAACAATCAATAGTGTCTGTGTAGCATTCTTCCTTCTGTACTCTGCCTTCATAAGAGGGCTCCATGACAGAAGGAAAAAAAAATTAGTGTTATAGAAGCAAAAAGTAGTAGCACGTTTCCATCTCCAACACAGTATTCCTCTCACCATGAGTATTTCTGACTCAGCAGTGAGATCAGCAATGGTCCTGGTGCATGCTGTGGTGGTCTAAGCACACAAAGGGACAGCACACAGGCTGGCTGGCAAGAGTTTGTCATTTCACCAGCTTCAGAGGGCACCTCAAACTTGCACACTAGGCACTTGCCAGCAGTCTGCCAGAAGACCTCTTCCTAGAACAGCAATCAAACACTACAGTTAAAAACCAATTTCTTGACCTAGGTCACAGCAAGGGAGAGGTAGAAGAGCTTTCTCCACACACAGCTTGGAGCTCACCTGCGTACATTGGGCCTGAAGAGGAAAGAGGGAGAGAGAACTGTCCCTGTCAGGTGCTCTGGTACCTGCTAAGGCATGCCAGGCCTTCCCTTCTCCCAGCTCAGTGGGCCAGGCAGTCCTCCCAGGAAACCTCACACCAGCACTGTGAAATCACTCTTCCAATAAGATGAGTACTTCCAGAAGGATCGCACTGTGCTTTGCTGTGTTAACACAGATTAAGTTCTAATAAAAAGAGGTACTAAAATTTGGGTGGTTCTAAACCACCATGGCAGATGATCTGGTTTGTTTGTATTAGCAGGAAGCATCTGACTCATGCATCAAAGGAAATCTTTTTTGTAAGAGAACACCTCAGTGAAATCTGTCTTTGATGACATTTGCAGTCTTCTGAAATTATTCTTCCTTTTGAAGTTGTGGAAGTAGAGGTACCTAGGCTCAAACACTCACAAAGTTATTCCAGTAAACTGAAGAGTTCATAAATTTAACATCAGATAATAAAGCAGATGTTTCTTCTGACACCAAAGTAAGATTTCAACCAGTAACAACTAAAAGCGTCCAGACTCCTGCAAAGGGATCTTGCCCCAGCTGTCGGCCCCACTGAAGGCAGGGAGGAGTGCTCTCCACCCACACACTAACTTACTGGGTTTTTTTGGGTTTTTTTTTCCAAACAAAGGCAACATGCAGTAACTTGAAATTACAATTTTGGTTTTTATCAGAATGCACCAGTTTGGTCAGGTTACTAATTAAACCATGTATATTATGGCATACTAGTGCCTTCAAAGAGATTCTGGCTAGAGACTGCTTTCTCCAAGCCCTGCAAACTACAGCAACAAAGCTAGCTGTCAAGACTGCTCTGCTACTAGGTTTTTGCATGTTAATACACAACCACAAAAGGCAGAGAAACAAGCAATTACACTTCAGAAGGCTTTTTATTTAGTGATCACATCACAAAAGCCTTCTATTTAAAATATAAAATGCATCTTGGTGCTTTCAAGGAATTGTGTTCAATGCACATACATTCTATATGAAAATAAGTGTATGTACACAAAGATGGGAAAAGAGGAATTGTTTTGCCACCTTTGTAGCAAAAGATGGGAAAATAATCTATTCCTCTATAGAGACCCAAGATTTCTTAGATAGCCACAGTGTTAGTATTATTAATGGAAAATGGTTACATCTGGGCTCAAGAATATTTTCACCCAGCACAGATAAGAACAACAGTACCCCTGGAAAAAATAAAGCCACAGCAGGCATGTCACGTTTAGTACTTCTTTCCTAAGTCAAACCCTTCAGTATTCTTCCTCCTTGTTACCAGACTTTCTGCACTGCTCAGAAGTGCCTTCATGAATTATTTTGTATCATACACTGTAAACTAAAGGTAGAAAAGCTTAATAGAAGCCCTATAAGAAAGCAGGGACATCATCTTTCTAATTCCACCCTTTTACAAAGGAAAATTGCTACACAATTCAGAGATATGAAATCATTCTCCACCTTGTCAGTAACATTTTTTACACTTTCTCCTCCATGCAAGAAAGGAGCAACAGGAAAGAGGATTTGAGTGACTGTTGCCAACAAAACTAAGCCTTGATTATGGGGCACCACTTCCACAAACACGAAAGCAGAACTACTGCATCTAAAATGAACTGGCCTACTTGCTACTTCAGTGTGCCTCTAACTATGAGAAAAAAAATACTAATTATTTGTATTCAAGTCCATGGGCACCATCTCCAACTGGTGTGGCTGACGTGCTCACAAGAAACACAAGCTGAAATTTAAAAACTTTTTTTCAAACCTCTTACCTTTCCAAGACTTGAGGGGGTAGAGGGGACATGACACAAAACCCAAAACTTTAATGAAGGAGAAAAATTAAATCCAGGTGAGAAGGTCTTGCAGTTGTCTTCAAAAAGAGCAACTTTCTGATGTTTTGACTAAACTTTAAGATAGTAAGATACAGATCATAGTCTAAACCAAGACAGTTCTCAAAATGTCTTCTGAGAACAATTCCATCAAGACTTAGTTTCATAGCCCTCCCCTAGCTTCTCCTAGGCAAACCCCATCTATTAATTTCAGCTCGTGCTCCTGGCTTCACAGCCACCCTTTATCACAAGCTTACAGACAGAGCTCTGTCTTCTGATGGATGCACTAAGACAGAAGAATCTCAGTGTTTATTAATAAGCTAAACTATTTAAATCCAGTGTGAGTGCTCAGCGTCTGGAAGCTCCAAGTCCAGACACAAAACCTCAGGTAAGCCAGGTGACGAGTCCCACCTGACTCGTCAGTGTTCCTGTGTTGGCAGGAACACATTCACAAACCTCTCCCCACCTGCAGGTTTTTTTTTTGCCTACAGTGCAAGCAGACGCGTTAAGTTTCAAACACTTCAGAGACTCACCTAACTCAGAGGCCAGCAGCTAGGACTCACCTACCTGAGGACCGTCCCTCGGCGTGGCCGCAGCAAGGGGCGGATCTCCCTGCAGCCTCTGCCCCAAGCGGAGGCCACAGGTAGGGTGTCCTGTCATATTTCGCGCTAGGGAGATTAGCTGATGGAACTGCATCCTTCTGGTGGTGGGCCTGGGAATGGGCTGAGGAAAAGGCCCCATTTGGTTCTTGATGTGCCCAGGTCTCCCCATATTGCTGACAGCTTCCCCTAGCTGATATGGGGTCTGTTAGGGCACAGAAGAGGTAGTGAAGGAACAAGGTCAAAACTTAACCCAATAAGGACCGCGTTAAGAAGGGTATGGGCTAAGACCTCCCTTTCCATATAAAAGTATGGAAAGATCACAGGCACAAAAGAAGCTCAAGCACAGTGGCAAAACTGCATAAGCATTTTGTGATTGAGGAGAGGCTGATTTTTTTGACTCAAACAGCAAACAGGAATTTACTCAGCAGGTAGACAAGTGAATTTGAAGGCTGCATTTGGATCATTTTCATTGGAAATTAACACTAGTGTAAAATTAGTGACCTCATCTGAAGAATAACCAGATACTGGGAGGTACAACACACTGCCACTGAATGACAAGGCTGAGAAGAAATCCAGCATCTTCAAAACCACTTTATCTCAATTTAAATTGTCAGCTGTAAAAATCAAATTACACTACTAGCTTGGAGAAAGTGCTTGGAAAGCAGGATAAAAACACCTCTCTAGTCCAGTCAGCTACTCATGATCACAACTGGAAAACCCAGTTAGATCATTCCTACACAGTCACCACTTCAACAGCACAAAAGAGCAAACACAAAATATTATCCAACCATAAAAAGCACGGGAAGTACAGACTACCAACATCCTCAGAATCATATAGTTTTTTTTTTTCCCAGTACAGCCCTTCTATCCACTATGTCGTCTTCTGTCACTCCTTGATGTTCAGAGTGATGATATACATCTGACACTCCCCAAGAACCTGGTTCTATGTTCACGTCACATAAAATCTGGAATTTGCCAATATCAACCTTCTACAGAAAACAATGATGGGCAACCCATCCCACCCAGGGACTCCCAGCATTACTCACTCCCTACCTCAGTCCAGAGCTGCTCACACACACCCCCCCCAAAGAGGATCCAGTGATATGGTGTGCATCTAAAGAAAGCAGAGCCTCTACTTTACCAGCGTTCAATTATTTCTGTGCCACATTTCCCCTCTTAAGAACTTTACTATCCCTAAAGCATCAGGGAACCTACATGAGGCAGATATACACTATAGGTTTTAGGGGTTGGGTTGTTTTTTTTCCTTCCTCACGTTTATTACTAGAAGCCCTTCTTGGTTATGATTTTTCTTTTTCCACAACACATGAAGAAATATAATTTCTTAAGAGTTAAAAGCTGACACCTGCTATCATGCCACAGTCTGGTGGAAAAAAAGACAAAACACATGAATGGAGCCGACTGAAGGAAAAAGCTATTTTTGGAGCACTCATTTTTTAAAAAGTCTTATCAAACTACTGGGTGGGCAGACGAAGAATCTGACTCCAAGGACCAAGGTCTGACAGCACAAAGTGTAGTCCCTTTGTGCAGCCCTTATCTATGAGACTACGAAGCCCACAGCTGAGGCTTTGTTCTAACCGTGCCTCTGGTGAGACCAATGATCACAGTTCTAGGCACAAGTGAACAGCAATTTCCACTAGTGGAATAAAATTAAAATTTACTAGTGAGGTCCCATGCAGTAAAGTCTTAAACTAATGTTCTCACTACTCTGTCTTCTAAATCCTGAATCATCAGAAAGCCATGGTATTTCACAGAAACAGACTTTCATATTTTAGCTAACAGCAACTGAGCAACAAGATATTAAACAGGACCATCTGTTAATTTATCTCTGTATAAACCTCAAGACATTATAATGAAATGGATTTTAAAGTCTCATTTTGACATCCACCACATGATCCTCCAGGTACACAGAAGGACTGTGAGCAACCCAGCTTCACCTGAGCAGTGACTGCTGAGACAGAAACTCACACAAAAACCTCATGGCAAGAAGCCTTCGAAAGCTCAGAATGATTTATTTGGGAACAGTAGTAGCTGTTAGTATTCAAAAGTTAGTGTCAACTCACAGTTCAAAGCATACTTCTTACTATGCTGGAAAACAAAGATAACCGATTGGTGCTTTACAGAACAGCAGTGCTGCTTCTGAAACAAACCGTAAACTACTCTCGGGGTGACTAGAAACACGAGTGTTTATATGCAGGTGTTCTATAAAAATCAAACTGCAAAGGTTCTCTGTCTTCACAAAAGCAGCATTCCTGTGGCTGAGCCCTAGACCTGTCCTCTGCCCACAAGATCTCTTCCAGACATTTACAGAAGAGCCATAAGGCACAGAAATGCCCTTTCCAAGGGCACGCTACTATCAAAGTCACAAAGAGGCCTAGATCAAATGCACACTGATCTCTTCAGCCCATGCTATCACCCCAGTGGCAATACAGACTGTAAATTACAGCTAAGCAGCAGAACCAGAAGTACTGAGGTTGCAAAGAGGATTTGTTTTTATTAGGTTTTGACTTCAGGAAAAGCATCAAGTTGGCAAGAACAGTTGGACCAGACCAAAAAAAAAAAAAAAAATCACGGTGAATTATTTTACTTAGCATTGCATAGCACTATATTCAGAGGTCTATGCCTCTCTACTCCTCCCCAGCACATACACACCACCCCAGGAAGAACGAACACTTCCAAGAACCAATGCCAGCAAGCAGGAAAGTGTAATTCATGAATGATCACCCAGAGTAGCAGCAGCAGCCCAGCGTCCCTGAAGGGTGTGAAATCAATCTGCTGCTGCACTTGTGTCAAGAGAATTTTAAGGAGAAACACACTTTTGGTACTTCCACCAAACCCCCACCCGCACCTCCCCAAAACTCCGGTGAGATTACAAACACATCGAGGAGTCGGCACGGTGGGTCGCTTAGAGTTCTGAAGGTGCTGCAGATGCTTCTGGAAACTCAATTTCAGGTCGTGTGCCTTATTATACCCGACCACACTAAGTGCCACGGCCGCACACTCCCGACGCCCCGTCTTGCTGGAGCTCCCCACTCGCCCGAACGAGTCCGCGGGCGCAGGCGGGAGCACCACACAACGCCGAACTCCGGGGCTCTGTGCCCGCACCGGCCCGGGCC